GATGAATGAATAAGTTCTGATAATTTGGCTTGCCTCATTTTATTTGCTCGATAACCAAATACAAATAAAAGCGCATCGATAACATTTGATTTTCCCGAACCATTTGATCCGACGACAGCAGAAAATGACTTGAGATTAAATTTAATGATTAGAGAAAATCTCGTGACGCAGCAAAGCTCAAAAAAAACATATATTATACCTTGTGAAATGGACCTATTTCCTGTTTGCCAAAATACGACTTAAAATTATTTAAGGATATTTTACTGATAACAAGCCGTTGTTTAGGTACGTCTTGCATAGTTCTATCCAAGGAACTTGGAGTCTTTGGTATAACAGACCCATTTTGAGCTTTGTCAATAGAAACTCTAGTGTGAGAAAGTGAAGTCATTATGAATTATAAAGGAAGGAATGTTATTATGTATATTATTATTGAGTAGAATTAAAACTTATATTGGACGCGTCAAATTCAAAGAAACGGGGTTTTTATAAGCAAATGAGACATCGCCACGTGATCATATATGATCACGTGTAAAATTACGGACTAATTAAGTTATTTAAGTCATTTTAGCATGAGCAATACTTCTATAAACGTTTAGATGACACAGAGATATAGATCATGTTGCCTGATCTGCATTAATAAATTTTCTTAATATGTAATAGAACTAGTAGCATTAACTATAATTATTATTAAAATTTTTTTTATTAGTTAAATTTATAATAATTACTATCAATTCTGTATTTGAGAAAAAAAAAAATTTGTTTATACCGTATATTAAACAAAAAAATTTTTTTTTATCACACTTGTGTATATCACATAGATGAGATGTGAATCTCCAAACCTTTTTTTTTTTTTTTTGATAAAAAAACAAAAAAATCATATCCTTATAAAAAATGAGTAATAATAATTCTTCGACGGGTAAAGTGTTAAGTTTTTCAGGACATGAATATTTAAGACAAAGACTTATCCTTGCCACATTAAGTGGTAAAATTGTTAAAATTGGTAAAATCCGATCTGAAAATGATAATCCTGGATTAAGAGGTATACTGTATATCATAATAATTATTGAATTAATTGAATAGATAGAAAAGAATGTAATATTTACTTTATTACGTTGGATTTAATAATAGATTTTGAAGCAAGTTTTCTAAGATTACTTGAAAAAGTAACAAACGGTTCAACCATTGACATCAATTACGCTGGTATTAATTAATACATATCTTCGCTGGACTTCAATTCTTCTACTTTAACACCTTTCTCTCACCCATAAAAGGTACAACGATACTGTATAAGCCAGGAGTGATAACAGGAGGAAAAATCTATCATGATTGTGGTACATCACGAGCAATTGGATATTTCTTGGAACCATTAATTGCATTAGCACCATTTGGTAAACAACCATTTGATTTGACATTCAATGGCATAACTAATGATAACGTTGACATATCCGTAAGTAGAAATATTATGAATTATGTGAGGTGATTTTATATTAATACCCATTTATTAATTTATACTTTTGAATAGATGGACAGCATAAGGACAGTAACTTTATTACAACTTAAAAGATTCGGTATCGAAGAAGGACTCGAGTTGAAGGTAAAGCCGTTTAAATAATTATAAGAATAATTAAGATTGTTATTTTATTAAGATCGAATTTTTGGATAATTAGATCACAAAACGTGGATCGGCACCATTGGGAGGAGGAGAAATTAACTTTAAATGTCCTTTAGTAAGAACGTTAAAACCGATTCAATTTACAGACGAGGGTCGAATAAAACGTATTCGTGGTATAGCATGTTGCACTCGAGTATCGCCACAAAATGCCAATAGATTAGTTGATTCAGCTAGATCTGTGCTGAACAGATATATACCCGATGTATATATTTATACCGACGTATATAAAGGTGAAGAATCTGGTAAATCACCAGGATTTGCTCTAAGCTTAGTAGCTGAATCTACCACAGGAGCTTTATATTCTGCCGAACAGGCTGCTTTGCCCGGTGAAACACCTGAAGATATCGGTAGTAAAACTGCCAAATTACTATTAAATGAGCTAAGCAAAGGTGGTTGTGTGGATTCATTAAATCAATGGTTGACCCTATTATTAATGGTACTCGGTCCTGAAGATGTATCGAAGGTTCGTGTTGGAAATTTAACAGCTTTCACGTAAGTTTTTTTTTTTTTTTTTTTTTCCTATTTAAAGGTTCCTTTAAATAAATTTTATTTGTTGACAATTCTTTCTTTCAGGATACAATATTTGAGAGATTTAAGAGATTTTTTTGCCACCACTTTTAAAATTAAATCTGACACAAAGAATAATACATTATTAATGGCTTGCGTTGGCGTTGGTTATATCAATTATAGTAAGAAAACAACTTAATAAATTACCAATAAAATAAAAATGCTAAATTAATTTCACATTAATCTTTATTTTTTTTTTTTTTTTAAAAAAAAAAAAAAGATAAAAATAAAAATTTTTTTTTTTATTATTATTATTGATCAACGACAGTATTTTGTAATCCTAAGTAATAATATAAAAATAGATAAATATTAAATATTTTTAAATAATAATAATAATATGATCAAAAATAAGTTAATTACCTTTAAATGAATCCACAGGGACAAAAGTGACGTAAGTATATAATTTCTCTTTAGCATCCTCTTCATCATTTCTACGTCTAGAAAGACGTAAACGCATACGATGAGGTACACTTCTGACACCTTGTTTCCAAATTTCTTTATTCAACAATGGATCTAAACGAACGTCATTAGTTCCCATATGTTTTTTAGCGAATGATCGAATTGCTTTAACCGAGTGCGGTGCGCGTTTCTTAAAACTCCTATATAATTATACCGCTATAATAATTAGAAAAAAATTTAACCAAAGAATCAAAAGATTTTCTTGCGATAAATTTTTACCGGCCATGGACGGCTTTATGCAAATGAATGGTATAGTCCCTCGTCACGACATCAGCGATTGCACTACGTGAAGCGGTCTTTTTTTCCTTAGCCATTTCTATATAAATAAACAAAGATCAAATATATAAATTTTTTTTTTTTCTGATTAAAACAATTCAAACAAATTAATTCTTTTAATTGATCTTTCAATGGATGATTAGTTTAATCTTACCGATATATTTATATTTTCGAAATGAAATGCTTAAAGAAAAGTTGTAAGAAAAAAATTTTTTAAAAAAAAGAGAGGAGGAATTCAATTTTTTAAAATTTCTCTTTTAAAAAAATTTTATTGGTGTAACAGCCATAGATCCGATCATCCAATAAAATTATGGAAATCCTAATGTTCGAAGATTCAGGGAAAATGTTATCGGAAGTGGCACTTAGCTCTTCTTCAACAGATACTCTTATTAATCTAATAGATTTTCGTACCGGTTCCTCATATACTTCTTTTAAACAAAATAATTGTTTTAAACATGCTTTAGCATTAATACCTTATCCCGGGCAATGTGATAGAATTGGCTTAATAATTTCTGCCCAATTGGATAAATCCTTATTACATATATATTCATTTCAAAAGGTAGGTTAGTAACAGAACCCTTTCTCGTTAATTCAATGAATAGTGATATTAACGAAATGATTTTGTAGGATCAAGTACATTTGAAATTTATAAGTCCTGAAAAAATAATTGCATTAGCAGTATCAAACAAAGGAGCCTTTTGCGCTGGTGGAACAGATAATGGAAAAATTTACATTTGGGAGGTAGGGAATTTAAAAGGGGTATTTTTCTTTAATTTAAAACATGTAGATAAAAACTAATGGGATGTGCCTTTTTTTTATTGTAAAAGATTTCCACAGGAACATTATGTAAAGTATTTGATGCACATTACAAAAAAATCAGCGTAATCAAATTTACTAGTGATGATTCCGCATTGATATCTGGTAGTGAGGATGCAGGTGTAAACGTATGGTTATTATCTAGCCTATTGGATGATTCTGTGGATGAATCACCTTCACCTTATTATACGTGGTCAGAACATTCATTACCAATAACTGATATTTGGTGTGGAATAGGAAGTTTTAACACGGCCAGAATCGTAACTTCTTCATTAGATCATACATGTAAAGTAAGTTTTTCTTGCTACCATACTATTATAAATTTACGTTATTTATACCATTTGTATTTATTAATAATAAAAAAAACTTTAATAGCTATGGGATTTATCGACAGGATATCTTTTAACAACATTTATATTCCCAACAGCAATAACATGTATAATAGTTGATCCTGCCGAAAGGATGTTTTTTGGCGGTGGTAGCAATAATTTAATATATCAAGTATATTTATATAGAAGACGAGAAAGTAGTAATTACAACGCTTTTGGGGAGGAAATGAGTTCTGTTGGTGGTGCCGGTTCGATTGAAGATATTTCTTCTATAGATGATGAGAAAGGAAATTTATTCAAAGGACATAAGTTAGTTCTTTATCAACTGTATATATTTGATTAATTTAATTAGTTAAATTCTGTTATATGTTAATTTACAACTTGTTTTGTTGGAAAAGTTCTGCGATTACTGCGCTTGCACTTTCGTATGATGCTTCTTTATTATTAGCAGGTTCAAAAGATGGAACATTGATGATATGGGATATTTCAAGTAAACAAATGATAAAAAAATTTTCACATCATAAAGGTAATTCTCTTTTATAAAATTTTTCCTTAATTTAATCGGGCTAATTATTTTAAAAAAAAATTTTTTTTTTTAAATAAAAAAAAAATAATGACAGGACCTATAACGAATCTATTTACGTTCTTAAAACCACCAGATTTAATTTCATCTACAAGCAATTTATCAAATAAAATTATGATTCAACCAATACAATTATTTCAAAGAAATACGTTACAACGATCTTATAAAGATAATTTTGATGGTGATAAGTGTATTAATATTATATTGAATGATAATACAAAGGTGAGATTTTTAAATGATTAATATGAATTGTATTGTGAGAGGTAATTTAATATGATTTGAATGATTTTTTGTAGGATATGACATTGTTCGAATATAATTGTATGGGTCAAAATATCGCATCTCCAGAATTACATGATTTACAAAGATCAAAACAATCATTACTTCAATTTCAAGTAAGTAATAGTTTAATAAATTATTGATTTACTGAAACCTTTTTATTTATTTTTATTTTATTTTTTTAGGTTGATGATAATTCATCAACTTTAGAATCACAAATTTCTTCATTACAATCAGAATTATTACGCGTACATAATCAATATCAACGTGTTAAAGGATTACATGATGAAATGTATCAAGAAATAGTAAATAATTTTATGGCAAACAGAAGAGAAATTGAAAACCAAAAAAAAGGAGAATGATAATTTATTTTGATATATATATATTTTTTTAAGTTAAAAACCAATACATTTCTTTTTAATCTTATTATTTTAAATCTTTACAATTATATAATTACAATCCGAGAGTTTTTCTAACGGTATCTCTAACGATCTTATTAAATGCTTCACGGTCCCCTCTCCAAATTTTCTATTAAATGAAACAAGATATAATAATGTAAAATTTAAATTTCCGTCTTAAAATTTTACATATTAATTATAGATTACTTACACAAGCTTCAATATTAGCACCACTTTCATCATTAGGTTCGGCCAGCATACTAACCACACTCAATAAAATCTTTTCAACACTTTGAACAGGTGACCATCTTTCTGAACTGCTTTCATACATGTTTGGATCATCACCCGGAGGATGAAGAATTGATATGCAAACCATTCCATCCGGATAAACTGTATCATACATATGAATGAGTTTATATAATAAATTAAGATAAGGAAAATACTTTGATAGATACATACTATTAGGATGAAACATATCACATGTAAATTTCATTGTTGGTGGAGAAAGAGGATAGTCTGTAGGAAATTTAAGTATGGCAGGAAAGATCCCACCTTCATACGGTGTTCCTTCCGGTCCTCTATATATGTATATGTATATATCATTAATAAAGGAATCAAAAATTACTTGAAACTTTAATTTAAATTTGAAACTCACGCTATTAATGCTTCCCACTCAAAGAACAAATCTTCGGACATTGGTCCTATAAAAATAGTATGAATTATTATTTATTATTATACTTTCCTTTAAAAAAAATAATATTTCGAGGTAAATCTTACCAGCAGTAATGCCTTCCGGAGCATTTAAAGTTAGTTCTGACAAAACAAAATAAGCTTTATTAGCATTCAAAGGCTTAAGAACTTATTTTCACGAATCAAATAATCTATTTACCTCTGTATTCGGTCATTAACCGTTTGAGTGCAGTAGAAGCCATATTTCTCGAACTGCCATACATTTTTTTTTTTCTATACTAATATAAACAAACAATCTCAAAATTTTTATATCCTAAAATTGCTTTACTTGTAATTAGTATTTTATACTAATTAAGTTTGTGTAACTAAGAATCAACATTATGGGCATAAGGAAAATGCTAGAAAGATAATACAGCAAAATAGTAAATTTTTTTTTTGCTGTTATTTTATAATTAGTATAATAAGTACTCATTATACATGAAATCGAAATTAAAATGGTTGAAATTACGTCATATCACATGATTTTATAATTTAAATATCGTAATTTTTCAAAAAATTAGTAATCTTATCATCTACTGATCAGAAATTCATAAAACTCTATCTGGCAATTACTTGAATACTATTATGCCAATAATAAGAGAAACAAAATAAATCTTCAACTTTTCAAATGTTTAATAAAAATAAAGAATTCAAATAAAAGAATCTAATAAATTGCTAGATAACTTCTAGTTATAATCAAATGAATATTATTATGACTAATAATAAAAATACAAGCAAAAAACAAAAAAATTTCTGAAAACTTAGAATAAACTCCCAATAACATATATAATATTGTAGAAATTATTCTTTTAGAAAATAATACAAATAATTAACAAATAATAAATACTAAAATTTCAACAGCTATTGTATCTGTTAAAATGGATATAGACTAGGTAACAGGAACTGTTTATAAGTTTGAAGCATTAATTCATTTAAATTTACATGATAAAATAATTTAAGATTGGTAGTAAAACAAATGTGTGCTAATAAACATCAACTCAAACAAAGAGCAGAAGATAAACAGACATCTTATGTCACTGTGTTTAAACTGTAAATAGTCCTATGTTATACATTAGACTAATAATACAACTACTTCAAATACTATTTCAACTTAAACTAATACACCTTTTTTTACTCTAATAACTTTATTTATATCTATTTATGCTAACAAAATAAACAATAACAAAGAATTACCACTTACAAAAAGCAAAAGAAAATAAAAATTACCTAATCAGAAGAAATTGAAAATGCTAAAACTTTGTTTAATCATACTAATGTAAAAAAATTATTTATATAATATTATAACTATACTAATACATTTTTATGTGATATACTTAGCTTTAAACATAAAGAAAATTTTATTACTAGAAAATATAATAAAAAAAACTTATTATTTATTTATTTTAATGTTATTACAGATGAACTATTAATCTAAAAATAAAAAATTTATCTTTTACTTTAAAACTATAAAGGTACTTAATTATATTATTATAAAAGTATAGAAAATATAATATAACCTAATCTTTTTAATATTTGATTTTATAGTTAAACAACAGAAAATCAATTCTAAAAAGATAAATTTTTTAAAATTTTTGATATTTTTCTTTTTTTCAATCAAATATAATTAGAAATTACTTTATTAAATATAATAAGATCATTAGATTTTCAATAATTATATGTAGATCTTAATAAATAGTATTTATCATTTACAAAAATAATAAAGCTATTAGTTCTTTTATAATAATATTTAGTCAGTTTTTTTTTAGAATTTTACCTTTCAAATAGAATTAACTAATCTAAATTCAATATAAATAATTTTATAACAACAATTTGAATTCAAATTAACTGGATTATCATATAATACTAATTAGCATATTTTTCTGATTTTCTAACCTTTATTAAAGTTAAATTATATTTTATTTTACATAACTAATAGTATCATTTTAAACTCTATGTTTTTATTAATTTTACTACTTAAAAAATTTGATATTATTGTAATGCAATTCTAAAATTTAAAAGTAATATCTTATAGTAGCAATTATAAGTATCCAACTATTAATATTTTTTAAAATCAATAATAATATTTTAATAAAATTTTTAAAAATTCAAATATACAATACCAATGTTAATCATATATAAAATTATAAGTTTATATAATATATAAATCAGAAATTAGATGATCAATGAATTTTAACCATAAAATAATAATATTTTTTAACAAATTAAACAAAATAATTTTTTTATATAAATTTCAATAATGACTAAAATGAAATTTCAGAATATTATTACTTTTTATCTATTATAATAAGATTATGATTTTTATTATATTTAAAAATACTATTTAAATAAAGACTTTAATAATAAATAAAAGTTATAATATCTGCTAAAATAATCTATATTATAGTGATTTTACAGATTTGTGATTTAATAAACTAATTTCTTTTAGCATAAATATGATATTAATTTTATATATAATTGTTATAAAAAGAACCTTTTAGTTTATATTTGTAAATTTTTAGAAAAGATAACTTAAAGTAAATTTGACAAAAAGTTAATAATTATAAATATTATTTAAAAAAGAAAAAAAAGAAAATGGTATTATTGAAGTTCCTTAACTATTTATGTAATTTGTCTAAAATTCTGTAAAATTGTATAATAATTTCTAAATTAATATATTAAAAAATTCTGTATATTATAGTTTACTGACTAAACCACTCTAGGTATTTTACAAATTCACCTATGAATTTGCAAATTATCCAGATGGTTTAATCAGAAAGTATTTTATAAAGAGAAAAGTAGTTTGATCAGATTATATAAATCATAAATATATATGATTTTTAGTATTATTATATTCCTTTTTTTGTAACGTATTTCATATTTTGTATTATATTTTACTATTAAGAATAGTTAGAGTAAATAAAAATATTAAATATTCTAAATTTACTTTTAAAAAAAATTGATTAGTTTATGAAAAGTTAGTGGTCTTGCATTATTTAAATAATTCAAATAATATTTGTATTACTACAAAACATTTTAATTTATAGTCAAACTAAGTTTATGATTAGAAGAAGAAAAAAGATTAGTTTAAAACCTTTATACCTCATTTATTAAAGTTATACAAAGATAAATAACCATTTTTTATGGATTTAAAAAATAAGTTAGCAAATTGAATTTTAAAATATTAAAACAAAATCTTTTAATTATTAAAAGCATGGTAGTAAAAAAGTCAAAAAAATTGTACAAACTGATAGATATCAAGAAAAATATCCTAATATTTTTTTTAAATTCTTAAATAAATAAATAGACTATTTTATGAATTATTATAATCTTTCAAATTATCAAAAAATAATAATATCCTAATATTTACTCAAAAATTTACTTGAAAAATAGCAGAATTTTTTAGTTTTATCTTTTATAAAAGAATACAATATGATTATTTACTTTAACTTATTAGAAATATAGATGAAATACCTGTAATCTTTAATTTACTTAATTTATATACTTTAAAAAATATGATTTAATACTATTAGTATTAAAATTATTAGAAATAAAAGAAACATATTTACAGTTGTTTTAAATTATATAACTGATAGATCAAAATTATTACCTGTTATTATTTTTAAATTAAAGAATATATTTAGAAAAATATTTTCTAGTAGTATATTTATAAGGGTAAATGCAAAAGTGTAGATTAATGAAAATAAAATAATGTAATAAATAGAAAATATCTGATATAAAAGAACTGTTGACTCCTCTAATCACAATTTATTTCTTGTCTTAGATTCTTTTTATGATCATTTAGTTAACTCTATTAAATAAAAATTATATAAAAAATAACCAATATGAAAGTAATGCTTGATAGGTTAACATTTAAGTTACAACTTCTTTATAAATTAATTAACAAAAGCTTTAAATCTAATGTAAGTATTATTAATTAATTTTTATTTATTTTTATATATATTATTATATAAATTAAATAGATGTTTAAGTAATAGATTTGCAAATTTTATAATAAGTGAATGACAAATGAAGTTTAAGTTAACTTCATATAGATAAATTGAAAAACTTTCATATTCTTTAGTATGTTTTAGGTAAAAGATACATAGAAAAAAATTAATACAAATTTGATTTATAAATTATTCAAATATTATAGCATTTCAATTAAAACCAATAGTTCTAAAAATGACATGATTTTTGATTATGATAGTCTTATAATAGATAAAGAGAATAATAAGTTAATTGAAGATAATAAATTTCAAGAGAAAAATTATAATATAGTAGCTGATAAAAGAAACCCAACAACTTATTTTTAGCTTTAAACGCTTATAACTTATTAACTTCAAATGCTAGAAACATAATTTTTGATTCATTTTAATCCTTACATTTTGGAAACATCTTATAAAAATTTATTAGTTAATTAATAATGCCAATTTTGTATAATGTAAAGATCTACATTAAAAATAGTATTTAATGATTTTTAAGTTTAGAAAACTTTTTTAAGCAGGCTAGTTATCATAAAACTGATACTGGATTCTGATTTTTCTCTGTGTGATGATTCCAACAAGCCAAATTTCAGATTAATCTAATCAGGAGTTATTGTGTAGCAAAGATCAGTATTTTACTATATAAAATTGTGTAGACTTATTTTTCATAGTAAAATGCTGATTTTTGCTATGCGATAACTCCTGATTAGATAGTCTGATTTAGATGAAATTTAGTTTGTTGGAATCGTTATACAGAGGAGAATCAGAATCCAGTATCAGTTTTATGATAGCTAGCCTGCTTAAAAAAGTTTTTTAAGCTCAAAAGTCATTAAGTACTATTTTTAATGTAGATCTTTATATTATATAAAATTGGCATTATTAATTGGTTAATAAATTTTTATAAGATGTTTTTCAAAATATAAGGATTAAAATGAATCAAAAATTATATTTCTAGCATTTTTAGTTAATAAGTTATAAGCATTTAAAGCTAAAAATAAGTTGTTGCATTTCTTTTGTTAGCCACTATAATTAGAATAAATTAATTTTACTAATATTTAAATAAACAATAAAGTCTAAATAAATTTTGTATTTAATGAATAATATCATAATAATATATTAATTACATGATTTATATAATTTTATAGCTATTTTCAATTAAAAATAAAATGCCTCTATAATAGAGCGAAAATAGAGGTTCTAGGGTCAAAAATCTGCAGAAAGATTCTCAGCCATATTTTCAAAGTCTTCTAGCTATAAGAATTCTCTATTGAATTTAAAATTCTAGCTCAAATTTAAGCTTTTCCTGTTATTCAAATATTTGATATTAATTTAACATTAAATTACTCACAGGATACTAAGAATAAATCTATCTCTTATAGCCTTTCTAGCCTAATTTTAATCTTAAATAATATATCAAAAAAATTATACCATTCTGTTTAAGTTCAAGGTGATGCGAGATTGGCAAAAACTGAAGGTTTGAAGCCAAACTTGTGGAGTCTCTACAAACCTTCTATGTATACTATTATTTATGTTATTTTAGAATTAATTCTAAAGCGAATTCATTAGCATCTAATATGATTAAATTTTGGTATTTACCTCATATAGGTACCAGAAATTTATGTGTATTCACATTTATTTTCAAAAGCTCTAGATTATATTCTAGTATATTATTAATTTCTTAATATACAGAAAACTATTCTAAAGACGATTTATCCTCAAAAACTCTAAGATAAAAAATAGTATCAGGATACCAAAAAATTTTAAATATGATACCAAAATTTATGTACTATTATTTGTCAACCCAAAAGCTTTAGATCATGTTCTAGCATACCAATAAATTTATGATATACAGAAAACAATTCTGGAGCCATTTGTTTTACATAATTCAAGGTTAAAAAAAAGTCATACTTCTGATAAGTCTAACCTCTGGAATACCAAAATTTCGAGTGGGTATCAAAATTCTGGAGAGAGTACCAAAATTTTAATATACTAATTTTTCTTTCATTAGAGCCCTAGACTGTAACCTCTGATAGTACTGAGAGACGTAAAACTTAAAAGACATAATTAATTAATATTTAAAAAAAAACTTTTTTTATAAGTATTATAGTATATAAGATACTATAATTAAAGAAAGAAATTTTATAAGCATTATATATTAGTTATGATACCATGATCGAACATACTTATACTAGATGTAGTAAAAGATTTCCTAAATTATGAAAACTTAGACGACATAATGAAAGGCAATATAAATGTAAATTTATGCAAGCTAAAGACCAAAAAAGCGTTCCAGTAGTTCATTTTCAAGGAAAGAATCGAAGAAGGGAGAAATCTGAACCTATTTCTAAAATGCAAGTCTCAATTTCACAAGACAAAGATCAAGAAGGTGATCTTGGTTCATCAACCCAAGCATATAGAGAAGGTAAGTATATTGATAGGCACGTAAGAAAGTCTAAAGAGCATTTAAAAATATGAGGTTCTTTTATTTTATCTATAAGGATCATAAAATATGTTTAATCTTTTAATTGATTAGGTTTAAAATTTTAAAAAAAATATTTATTAAATTCTTTTTAACTTTAATTAAAGAATTAAGATTATAATTTATCAAAAGAAACAATTTAAAGAATAATCTTTTTATTAATATTTTGAAATAAACTTCATATTATTAAATAATAGTAAATAATATAATTTTATTGTTTAAAAACTTAATATAAATAAATTTAAAATTTATTATTAATTAGTTTGCAATAAAAAAAAAACATCTCTAAAAAATTTTTAAGTTAATTTTAAATCTAAACTTGTTTTATTAAAAAATATATATATTAGTATAAAATAATTTTTTTATAATTTTTCTCCTTTCAATTATAAAGTTTATTATTATTTAATAATTTATTAAACATTTATAAAATATAATTTTAATGAAATAATAATTTAATATACTAATTACTGTAAATAATATTTTGCAAATTACAAAGATTTTTTTAAATATTATATTAATATATTAACCAAAAAAAAAGAGTTATAAATTGAGGGAGACGATTGTACAAAAGATTTTTTTATATATACTTTTTTTTTAAATTACACTAACAAACTTATAGTTAGAACCAAAATAAACTGATTTTCGTTCGTAATAAACATTTTCTTCTAATTCTACTTTTTTTATTTGATATAATTATTAATGACTTAATATTTATACTTTCAAACCATAAATACAATTTTAATAATCCTTACACGCTAAAATTTAATAATAAATCGATTAATAATCTTAAATATTAGATAATTTAATAAGTTTATAAATACTTTAACACTTGTTCTTTGTCAATGGTAAATAAGTTAATAAGTTCATCCATCATACACTTAATTCTCAATGAAGAATTTTAAACTTTATATTATCAAATAGTATCTGTGTCTTATGATTTAACTATAGGCTAAAAATATGAAAATTAATAATCTTCGAACATCAGGAATTATATTTGAAATCTTATGCTAAATGATTAAAATAACACTGGTTAAACTGTGATTAAAATATTAATCATCGATTAATACGATCAAATCTACTTAATCTTTTAAATACTGATCTTTACTCATCAATTTTCTTGCTTTAATAATACGATATTGTGTCATTACCCTTTCTCTCTCCTTATCCATGATCCTTTTATTAACAGCATCCAACTGTTTCTTTTTTTGCTCTTTCTCCTTCCAAAAATTATCCTTCTATAAAGAAATTATTAATTAAACATTTAAATATTTCTCTTTTCCTTACCAAAAAAAAAAGAAACTTTAAAGCTTACCTTCAATTGATTAATTTTACCACGATTTTTAGGTATAACAGATAATGATGGAGGGGCTTGAACTACTTCACCAAATTTTACTTTATCCTGAAAATCATTAAAATCTTTTGCATTAACTTCTTCCATTAATTTTTCTACTTTGGCCTTTTTCTTTTCCTTTAATTTTTCTCGATATCTAATTAAAAAAAAATTACTTAATAATAAAATAAAATTATCCATTTGTATTTATAAAAAGTATTACTGGTAAGATACCGTTTGGCTTTGTCTTTAGTTGACATCCCTACTTTCATTGCTTTAATTATATCTGGTCTCATGTGATCTTCCAACCTCCTACATTTTATATTATTATATTAGTTATAATAATAATAATAATAATAATAATAAGTAATTACATACCTGCTAAAATCCCGAAATGATTCACCAGGCATTCTCTGTATCGTCTATTTTATTAAAAATTAAAGGGAGATTTTTGAAAAAAATTTACGAACGAAATCAAAATAATAAATCATATGATTGAACATTCACCTCTGAATTGCTTTTCATTCCGGAAGTTTTAACAATTTTCTTTTTCTTAAATTCATTAGCTTGTAACATTCTTTTAAAATTTCGAGGAATATCTGATATTTTATCAGCAATAGGTGAGGCATCATATCTTAATTAAAAATAAATAAAATTAAAAATTGTTTGGATTAAGTTAAGAAAATAAAAAAGAATAAAATACTTTGATTGATCTGTCTCTATTCCTCGTTTTCTTTTTCTTTTATTAGGCATATTTTAAATAGAGTGAAAAAATAAAAAAAAAAGTGTGAAACGGAAAGTGATGAAAATCTAAAAAACCTCGGATTCATGTTTTTGCATAATCACGTGACAAATGCTAAAGTTTGGAAAAGAATTCTTACCAAAGCAAAAAAAGCAAAACGAGATTTTAATAGTTGTTTTCTTTTTCAGTTGTCGAGTGTAGAAAATGAATTGACATTTAAACATTTAGATGATCATTTACCGAAAATGTAAAATCAAAATTTTTTTTGCAATTTCTCATTTTGTAATCATGTTCTCTTTTAAAATAAATCGTTCTCTAACAAACTATTTTAAAACGTTTACAACACCAAAAATAACACAAATTTTGCTCATAAAAAGAAATTACATACTATTTCCGAACCTTCAAAATTCAGTTACTACCAATGCTACAACAAATAAGTTAATATTACCGTTAACTTCTTCGTTCTTTCTCCAACGTCGTCATCGAGCGGAATTCGCTCCACGTCATACGAAATATAAAAAAGCTCATAAAGGTCGTGTACCAGTACGTATAGGTGGTTCAACAAAAGGAAATACAATAGCGTTTGGTTCATTTGGATTGAGAGTAAAAGATGGTGTACGATTATCTTCAGCTCAATTGACAGCAGCTCATACCGCTATTAAAAGAAAAATCAAAATTATTAAAGGTAGTCAAGTTTGGATGCGTGTTTTTCCTGATATACCTGTCACCTCGAAAGGTAATGAAACTAGAATGGGTAAAGGAAAAGGTAATTTCGATTATCATGCTTGCAGGGTACCAATGAATAAAATTCTATTTGAAATTGGTGGTGGAAATATTAGAAAAGAAGTTGCTAAAGAAGCTTTAAGAATAGCTTCCGATAAATTACCTGTTAAAACTGAATTTGTGGAAAAAGAGGATGAATTAAAACATCAGAAAAAAATTGATGAGGTAAAAATTATTCAAGTCTTTGAATTATAAACTATTTAGATAGAATAATTTTTACAACTATTTGCAACACATATATTTTTTTTTCTTAAGAAAATTTTTACAAATTGGTTTTTTTTATACATTTTTTGTGTAAACTAAAAACAAATATCTACTAGATTGTATATATTTTTTGTTAGGGACTTTGCGACCTATCTTTTTTTTAGCCGAAAATAATACATATATTTATTTATACATATATTTGGAAGCAAAGTTTATCTAGTTGAACTTTTTTTTATTTTATCCGTTTATATATCTATATATACGAAGTTGTGTTTCCTTTAAAAGATTAAAAGAAGGAGCCCGTTGCTGGTTTACGATCGCGAAATTTTGCCTTCGATAATATATACATTTAATTAGTAAATATATTAAAGCGTGTTTATGTAAAAAAAGATTTGATTTCATTACCTCAAAGAATTCATTGACATCTTTAACTGTGACTGTCTTGCCAGATTCTCCGAATGGCTTTAAGAATTCAATAAGTTCATCCCTAAAAGATCATCATATAAATCAATTTGTTGTACTTTTAAAACATTGATTTTGTCATGATATACTTACTTGAATTGATTATAAGCAAGTATTCCTAAACATTTCAAGGTCGATAATAAATAAATGATTGAATTGAATTAATAACCATTTAACCGTAACAAAATATTACCTTCGATTGCAGCGACCCTATCCATTTGATTCAACGCTTTCATTCCGCAGTCAAACAATGATTTCTCTACATAATTTATACTAATATTCAGATACGCGTGAAATTGCAAAGCGCGTAAAAGAAAAGCCAAGAACTTACGTGCGTCATCATCTTCTGGCGGTTCATAAGTCTCTTCTACATTGAGAATGAACTCAATTTGATGTTTCTTATAAAGTTCAATACACTAAATCAAAAATGATATGTTATCCTTAATATTATTAATTAATTAAAGCGTATGTTCTTTATACATACTTTACTACAACGGCACAAATCATCACGCCAGCCTTGAACACAAAACAAATCGACCTCTACGTCGTCATTCACTACCGGCCATCTTTCACGCTTACACACATTAGTATCATCAGTACCATCATTCTTTGACCTTTTAGGCAGCAAGGCTTTGCCATCAACCACTTCATCTTCCTCAATCTTTCTTTTATTATTTACATGAGGAGTTGGTGATGACGGCGAAACTGTGCTGGTTTGGGTTGTAGTGGTTTCATTATCCTTACAGCTGTTGGGAGGCTGTGACATTTTATCACCGGTGCTGGAATCGTTGGAATTCTCGTCAACCCCATTAACTTGATGGGTTTTTTTATTGTATTGACCAGAGAAAAACATGTGTGAATTGAGGTAAGGCTTTAGAAAAGAATATTTGTCAAGGCATTTATGACACATGAATTCTTCAAACGTATCCAAGTCAGGTATCTAAAAGAAACGAAATAGAAATTAAAACCAACAATACACAACGATCTTGTGTAACGATTATGTAAGCAACACAAGTAAAACTTGTATAAATAGGGTAAATGAATGATAAGTTTGTGGACACGGTTTTTTGATCGTACCGAAAACCTCTTCTCCTCTTGCTTTTCTCCACTAATACAATTTTCATGAAACCAGTCTTCGCATATGACACACTATAATAAGAAACACTTTTTTGTTATTATGTTTTATGTAGTAAACTTTACATTTTTGAAGCAATACATTAGAAATTTAAAAGATATATAATTACTTGAAGCATATTATTCTCTTCTTTCTCTGGATCGTAATCAACTTTGCACCTTTAAAATGTTTAGTTTTTTTAAATAAATAAAAAATTTATTTAAAGAGCTTGAAAAAAAGAAGTTTTGTTAAAATATGATGGATGCTAACCAACAGAAACGACCTTCATAATTATGATCATATTTATTATGTTCATTCGACGTGTTTGGTGGTTTCGCTTCGAGTTTACAAACGGTTCTTCCAAGACGAGCGGTTCCACAATCGCACTTGAAGTTACGTTTAGGGAACAGTTCAACGAGCTCATGGTCTATGTTGAAAAAAGTGATAGATTACCTCATGTAACTTATTTACTAATGGAATTTCATGCTATAGTATTTTACTACTTTACCTGCATGGCAAGAAATTGAACATGAATAACAAACACCACCTGGCCCATACCCTTCATTTGGTTTACAAGTTTTACAAGCGTAAACTAGTTGACGTATATACCCTTTATTATACGTGCACTCGTCAAATTTCCATGATAGTATTTCTCCCGCTTCCTCCTCTAACAATCTTTGTCTTTCTAAAATCTCCTGTACTGTCAACGTTTCTTTCGTGTCTTTAGAATTCATTGCAGTTGAATAAAGGAAAAAGTTTTTTTTTTTTAAAAAAAAAAAAAAAACGGAAAAAATCTATTAAGCAAAACTTTTTTTCATGAAACTTGTTTATACTAGTAGTATGTTGTAAACTGTAACACCTAGTAATGTGACTAATTTTGGTCCAAATGATTATCTCACAAATGTGTAATTTAATTGGCTTACGGTTAATTGCTGTAAAAATTTTTTTTTTTTTAAAAAAAAAAAAACTCAAGTGACGTATCGTGTTCTTTCTAAAAATACAATTTTACACGTTCTGTACTTTAACGCGAATGTATATTAAGTTCGACATAACTCAAGTATTATATATTAAGTACAAAAACAAATTTTCCTTTTTTTTAAAGAAAAAATATTATTATATTATCAACAAGAATTCTTCCATTTAATTTATAAAACTGATGATTTATTATCTTCTGCAAAGTTCATTATTTATTTGTAAAAGTTTTCTTCTTTATTTGAGAACTATTTACATTTGTGGGTTCGGCTTTAAAATAATACCAGAGTTAATTTTTGCCTATTTATGTGTCATGCAGATCATAAGTCCATAATTGATTAAAGCCAAAAAAAACATAACAAAATCATCCTGGGTTAGTTATACTAAGCGAAGAAGTGAGATTAATTTACATATCAATTTCTCAAAAATGCAGTAATGTAACGCAGTAATGTGCAATTTAAGAATTCGCAATATGAATTAGTATTTCTTTTTGTTATCATGCTTTCTGACTTCAACTAAATTTTCAGCATTACATGAATTTTTACAAATAGGTAGAGAAAAACAAATATTTTTTTTTTTTTGTTTTTCTCCCACCCCGCGTTCTTTATTTAATTTTTATTTTAATTTTTTTAATTTTTTTTTCTTGTTTCTATCGTTTCGTAGCTATTATTTTCACTAATTTTTTTTAGTCCCATCTCTGCCATTTGGGTTTGTAGTTTACACTATGTAAACTTGAATGTAAAATTATATAAAATTTCTTTTCTTTGTAAATAATTATCACTAGAAACTCATACGATCGTTCATAACAATTAGAGGTTAGCTATAAAAAATTTTAAACCATCATAATTCAGGTTATTGCAGTAATCATACGCAATTTTCCACTCATCTATAAATATTTTATCCCAGAATGAGATAACATGATTCGGGTCTTCAATATTGTTTTCAAGTGCTTGTAATACATAATCCTTATTTAAGTGAATGTAAATTGATTGTATAAGAGTGAACAGATCATCTCGATAATCTGTAAAGATTTGCGGATTCCATCTTCCGGCAAAAGTACAGGTGGTTGTTAATCGTATCAGCCTTAAAGATAAAAATGGCAATCTTGGTCCATTTCCATACCATTCCTGAAATTTATAAGCTAATGAATAATGGTGTCGAATTCGCACCTGTCATGTGTTGATATAACTTACCTTGCCTGCATCTGAACCACATCCGAAATCGATAAGTATAAGTTTGCCATTTTTATCCACAAGGATATTTGTCAATCGAGTATCGCCATGTACTATCCCATTTTCATGACATTTCTTAATTTTTTCAATAATATCCGCTAATAAGGATACAGGTTTATTACATTTCTTGAATGTTTCAACTGCTCGTGGTCTTAATAGCATCGCTGTATCAGACGAACAAACAAGTCTTATAATACCATCATTGACTCCTCGTCTCTGAAGCTTTGTTAATACATTTATTTCATTCATTAATATGTCAGATCGTGACACAATTTTAACAACTGCTTCTTCATCGTAACAAACCCCAAATACACTCGATATAGATGTATACGCAATCAAATCATTCATTTTGACACTTAGTCCTGAAAGTCAAAACTAAAATGAGTCATATTTGTAGAAACAAGATCGTATAATATATGTAAATAAATACCTGTCATCGGGTGGTAGGACAATGTACTTAGTAGACCTCGTAAATAATTTGTATATGTTTGATTGCTGAGGTTAAATTGATCAGAGTAGGTTACTTTGTACGGGCCTTTCTCACTATCGTCTTTAGTTACTTGAATAAACATTACGTGATAACAATCCGTCAAAAATCCCGTGATACTTTGACGACCTTTCTGATGTTTTAATGCGATTGTTGCATACATAATAACTTGTCCTTGGTTGGTTGGCGTGAAACATGAACCGTGGGGTTTAATTTCGCCTATAGATTCTATCGTGTGTGATGTTAATAAATAGTCATCAAGATGAGTGCATATGTCTGGGGCCTTTCCATCGAGAAATTTTTTTGAATGCGTGTCAACAGCTTTGACGTAATTATCCCCTTCTAGCTGTGACAAGATCTTTTCACGAAAATAACCTTGGTATACGTTTTCTTTATCGCCTGTTGGCGGTGTAGCGAAAGAAAGTGATTTTCTTGCAGGTTCAAACCATAAGGTTTGACAATGTATTGGCTGATATATATACCATAGAGAGGAAAGGCTATGAGTCGTCGCATCTAAAATGGCTTCAAGACGAGCTCTTTTCGTCTTTTCTTGTTCGTATAATAATTCAGCATTCGATGATCTTTTTTCTATTGAAGAAAATTATCTGTTAGTTAAGCGTCATGTTCGAGTTGACCAATCATTACGACACAAAGGCTTACCTTGATGTTCAACTAAATTAAGATTATCAAAAAAAAAAGATTTTGTCTTAGCGTCACGGACAATAATAATGGCTAATATTTTATAAATTATTCGATAATATACCAGAAATATTACGAAGAAAATCTTTCAAAAGATTCCTTTTAGATTCTTCTGTTTCGCACGAAACTGCAAGTGCTGAATTTAATTCTTTTCTTATTTCATGATTTTTAATTAGGTAAATTTTGAGTTTGTTTGCTTCTGCTTCATCTAGACCAAGGTTATTAATTATTTCGTAGATATCAGACATCTTGTGTTTTTGATTTGAAAGAGATGAAAAATAAAAAAAACGATTTTCTGTAGAGGTTTATATATATTATTCGGAATAAACTTTTATTAAACTTCACTTATTTATGTGAACGCGTTATAAGCTTAATAAACTCCACTGATTATTAATTGAGAACGCGTTTTATAAGTCCGAACTCAATATATAATCATT